CACCACCAATTTCGTCCAATCGGAGATTGGGATCTCCTCTGACCAATAGAAACTTCGGGTGAAAATTAGTAAATGCAATTCAACCAAGCTGAAATCAATAATTCTTTTCTTTATTCATGAGATGCACTTCAGTTCCCAAATAAGCAACTTCAACTACAAGATTTGATCACATCCATTAGCGTTCACTGAAAGTTTTCTTTGCAGTCAATACACTCATCTGCTTCTTAAATATTAATGATGAACAAAGCATCGATCCTTTTTCAAATGTACAATCGCAATAATTAGTTGACTTATAATTTATCTGGAACAGACCGCACAAGAAGTTCAGTTCCATTTCCTGTTCCCACATCTGATACCAGTCATCAGCTCGTAAACTTATCCAATAAACGAAAACCGATATCACTAGTTCAACATAATGATAATAATAAATAGATGCTGAATTGCATCGACGATCCTGTATAAATGAATTATCATCTATTAAACTTAATCAAGAATGCCAGAACCAATTACACTTGAACCTGCCTCACCACGACATAAAAAATCGCGGTTCACTCACAATGAACAACAAGAAGCTGGGCTCAAACCACCGCTCGTTTCACGGGTTTCCGCTCCTCCAGCCATGGAATGCACACAAGACATTTGTGGTGAAGAAACACAACAGCAACGGCTAGTGTTGAATAGATTTAATCTGTACGAGACAAAAACAGTGAGTCCTTTTTTTGCGAAATTTTGAGTTTCAAGTTTCTTTGGTGTATAAGGGAGTAAAAGAAGAAGAGAATTGTTGCTTTATACTTTTATATTTACCGAACGAAGAGAAAACGAAAAGTAACCCAATTTTTAAAAATACACAGAATTATTACATGATTGGCTCAAATCAAAGTGACAATCGGTTTCGCGTACTGAAAATTGATCGAACTTCATTAACAGAACTAAATGTCACTGAAGACGAAGCGATTTATTCGAAACAAGAGGTCAATGATATTTTGATGAAGCTTAAAGTGGGAAATAAGAATTCTGGCGGATTGAAACATGTGCTATCTGCTGATGGGATTGTTGGTGAGTTCTCTCTTCTCTCTTTTTATATGTACATATCGATAGAATAATATTTTTCCCATCATGATTTCAAGGTTTTATCAGATTTACCGAGGGATACTATATATTACTGGTGACGAAAAAGAGTCCGGTCGCTTTGATTGGTGGACATTATATTTATCACATTGACGATACAGAGCCGTTGAGCATTAGCCCACAAAATAAGCCAGAAAAGAATTCTGATGAGCAAAGGTAAATAATATAAGATGTCTTCTGTGACTTGAAATATATATATAATAATTTACATATTTTCTAATTAATATTTACACAGATACATCAACACATTCAAGAATGTTGATTTGACCAAAAACTTTTACTTTAGTTATACATACGACATCACACACACTCTACAACACAACATGACCAGAACTTCGAATCGTCTCGATTTCTCGTATAATGAAATGTTTGTCTGGAATCATTATCTGCTCGAGACCGGGTTCAAATCATTGAAAAACAATTCTGATTGGATATTACCGATTATTCATGGGTTCGTGGATCAGTCAAGTGAGAATCTGTGGATGGTGGTTGTATCTAACGGGATATGAATAAATAATGTTATTTATTGTAATGCTCTTATCGTAATACCTTTTTTGTGACCGATACAGAAATATCGATTTTCGGTCGTAATATATTTGTGACATTGATAGCACGTCGATCAAGATACTTTGCTGGCGCAAGATTCTTGAAAAGAGGTTCAAATGATCAAGTACGAAGAGATATTTATTATATTATTATTTGTTATATTATATTAACAATATTATTAAAAAAAGTCAATATATTTTATAATTTGAAAATTCAATATAAACATTATTAGGGCTATGTAGCAAACGACGTGGAAACGGAGCAAATAGTTTCAGAAATGAATACAACTTCGTTTCATTTCTCTGGTACTCGATTGTTTGATAATCCACATTACACATCGTATGTACAGCACCGAGGATCAATACCGTTATATTGGTCGCAGGACGCTACTAATATGGTGCCGAAGCCGCCTATTCATAGTAAGTTCTCGTTATTATTAGTAAAAATATATTATTTTGTGATGATATATTTAATGTAATATTTATTTTTTTACCCGCCATTAAAAAGTGAACTTTAATGATCCATTTTTTGTCGCGGCTGCACTACACTTTGATAACATGTTTAAAAGATATTGCGCACCAATAATTGTCTTGAATTTAATAAAAGTAAAAATTAATAATTTTACTTGAACTTTGAAGAAATACTAAAAATATTAAACATATTATTATTTTTGATAAAAAGACAAAAGAGAAAAACAAGCGTGAATCCATACTAGGCGAAGAGTTTGTACAATGTGTAGATTATTTGAGTCAATTTCTCCCCGAAAAGTCTATTATTTATAAAGCGTGGGATATGTCAAAAGCAAGAAAAAGGTATTAATCAGTCTATGCGTTTTTGTTTCAGGATTTAATAAATAGACAAGATTTTTAATAATAATCAATCCCTTATATAGTGCCGAAGATGTAATTGAACTCTTAGAGAATTATGCTGAAGAATTTGTGGCAGATACTGGATTTTTTCATAGTGGACCAGAACCCTACATAAATATTTTAAGAAGAGAGGAAAGGTTTGTATTTTCTAATGATTTTAGATTCTTTTATGTATATTTTTTCTAAATTAGATAAATGTAAAAATGGTAATGTATAGTGAAAAGAAACCACAAGCTCGACGAAAACAGCTTCGTCAGAATGGGGTTGTACGTACAAATTGTATCGATTGTTTGGATAGGACAAATGCAGCGCAAATGATGATTGGGAAAGTAGCATTAGGACATCAGGTATTTCTCTTAATGATTATTTACTTTTGCTTATTATTATTTTATCAATGCTAATTTGGCAATGATGATTAGCTGTATGCATTGGGTGTTATTGATCATCCATCCGTTCCGGTGGACTCGGATGTGGTTAATATGCTTAGTGTTATGTATCATCATCATGGTGATACAATTGCATTCCAATATAGTGGATCGAATTTAGTAAATACTTTGGCCGCGTATCGTCACACTAACCAGTGGCAAAGTCAAGCACGGGATATAGTTGAGAATTTGAGGCGGTATTATAATAATGCGTTTATTGGTAAGCGAAAATTTACTTTAGTATGCGTTATTAGTTTGGTTGTTATCATTATTGGATAGAATTTTTTTGTTTATTGTAATTTATTTTGTTGATAGATAATGAAAAACAAGAGGCTATCAATTTATTTTTGGGCAACTTTATTCCGCAAAAAGATCGTCCTCCTCTTTGGGCATTACAGAATGATTACTATTTGCATAATGAAGATCCAAGATTCAGACGAACAAAAAGAAGGTAAATAAATGTTTTGTGCTGACATTAACGATATTTTGTGATAAAATTATAATTAATTAATTCTAATTTTAAATAAAGTTATATTAATTGGTGGACAAAAGATGCCTTAAGTCCACATGAAGGCACAGAACTCGATAAGACGCGATACCAACTTGTACCCAGACTAGCGCGGCAATATGATGATGAAGGAGACGCGTATGGCGGATACTGGATTGAATATTATAAACCGAGATTATTCACTTCTTTTGCAGATTTATTTGCAAGTAATATGAATAGTACGACTAAATATTTACCAAAGTAAACACTATTTTAGTTATTTATTATTCTACTTCCAATTTCATTTCTAACTGATTTTATTAGCAGAGTAAGCCCTGAAACGTATGATTATAGCCCATTTACACTAAGATTCACACCAGCGACCAGGTAATTTATTTTTTTTCTTTATGTTTTTTCAAAAATGCTATTATCATGTTTGTATGTGAATAGCAAATGAAATAGATGTATATGTATTGCTATAGTGTCTACAACTACATCAACAATATCATAGCATATACACTATTACCCATCATTAGCTAAAAACACACAAACACAAACCGGCTAATATTGGTGGAGGAGTAAAACGTTATTGACTTATTCTTACAAATAGGACCTTGAAAAAGAAACAACCCAACGAAAAAGATAATGAAAAAGAGAAACAGAGAAAAGATAAACATGTTGTACCGATGATGGATGGATTAGTAGCTAAAAGCTTGGATCCGTCGGTTTCTTCTAGTGAAGCTAAAGAATATAAAAGGTTTGTTTTTTGTATCTTTAGCCGTTCGAATATTTAGTATTATTTGAAGTATCTAATCTACTTATCAAAAAATAAAGATATATCAATCAATTTCGTAATGTAACCCTTGCTTCAACACCAACGGGAGATGATGACCCGTCACTTACAATTCACCCCGAATACCATCACTACGCAAATTTTACACGATTAGCTGAAAGTGTCGATCCGACAACCGATCTACGTGTTCATTCCATCGATGAGCAAGTCTATGAGACGTACACAGAAATGCCTAAAAAAGCAATGATGTTACAAGGGGTTGGTGCGGGTGGCCATCACTATGCTAGCAGTGGTGCTGCAAAGAATCGGTATCAGGCATATGAGAGTTGGTTGAAGACTGGTCGATTGGTTGGCAATAATAATAGTAATAATGGTGGTAACAATAATACTGGTAATAACGGTGGTGGTGGCAGTAGCAGTAATGCTAGAAAGTAAAATTATAGTGTATTTTTATACTGTATTTATTATATTTTTTATTATTATCATATCATCATGTAAATAATTAGTTTGTAGTTTGAATAGACTGGAATCGTTAACTTATTAATTAACCTGAACAAGAAACTTTTACAATATCTTCTTGATTTACAATATATAAAGATATATAAAAAAAATTCAGACACCCTCAATTAACACACATCATCGAAGAGCCACAGGAACAAAGAGCAGAAGCTCTGACAGAAAGTCTGGGTTGCGAGTCGTCGTCATATGCTCAATTGCGCCAATTAGTTTTAGCACACAACCACAAGAACAAATGAAACAGATTCTTATGATTATGTAGAATACAGTGAATGCGATGACCTACTCGTCGGTTTTACGTTTCATTCTTTTCGATGATGATTCCACAGGAGGAATGAATGCTTTTTCTCGTTCCGCTTTGCGTTTGAGCGTGTTTTCTCGTTGTTTTTCCTAAAATAATATTCATATTAATTGCGAATAAAAAAATAACTAGCTTGCAAATAAAAAAATATTACCTTCTTTTTCTCCATCTCACGCGCTGCTTTTTCCGGGGCTTTAAGAAAGTATTCACCGGATTCCAGTTGTAAATCAATCTAAAAAAAATTAAAAAAAACCAAAGATGAGAGAAAGTTCTATGAATTTATTTACTATTTTATCTGTTTTACCTTGCTCGGAGTCTGTGGTGGTGGGAAAGGCGTATACTCTTTCTTCTTGACAATAGGTCTCTTTTGTCGCTTCACATTCTTCTTCTTAAAGTGTGGCAAAAATCGATCCCATGACTCGTTTTTTAGTTTTGGATCTTTGGCAAGCTCGCGTTTTATCATTAGTTCCTTTATTTATTCATTGAGCAATAATTTAACTTGAATAGAATAATGTAGATAAAAAAATAATCATGTATATGTGAATAGTAATCTCACCTTTATGTAATAAATAGGGTGAATATTCTTCATACAATCATCAACAACTCGTCGCACTTCTTTCAATCCTTTGTACGGGCCCATCGCGGACACGGTGTTGCCTTGAACCATTATATAGCATTGCGTGAGAAGTTCGATTGCCTATATCAATATTATCATTATTAATTGTTAATATTGTCATTAGTATCAATTTCTATTATACACGATCTATAATAATTAAAAATAATAATATGATACCTTTAACGTCGACCCATTCGGACCAATTAATCGTTGTCGACGCTTGACAAATCGTTCCTTATTGCGAACAATGTTTCCGATTTTTATAATGTCACATGCGACTTCGTCATCAAGAATTTTTACAGCCTGTTTTTTTAGGTAATCCATGTAAAAGTATCTCTTATAGATAATGAATGCACTCGTTCTTTGCGTTATAAAAAAAGAATAAATAAAACATACTTGAGGAAACGGCACATTCCTTGCCAAAAGTTTAACCAAGTCACGTGTTTTGAGAATAATATACGGATCGAATGTTTTCCGTGTCGTTTTCACTGTCATACTGCCTTCGACTAAATTAAGTACACAAGCAACTCCCTATCATTATTATTATAATAATAAATTAATTCTTAACGATCACGATGATCAAACAGAAACATGAGAGATGATAATTACCACTTTTTCCAGAGCTTTAGTAACATGAGGCCACACTTCTCTCAAATAATTTTCTCGATATTTTGGAAAAAGTGTGGCAAATGATGATTCTTCGGTTAATGGGTGTGGGTTATCTTCAGGACGGAAGGGATCTATTTTCCAGTGGTCTATGTCATCGGTATCCCATGCTTTGAAAAGAAATAATAGACTCGAACTTAGTGATAATGGAAGTATTAGGGATAGATAAATCATAACAAGAACTAAAAGAATTTATTGAAAATCACGTTTGTCTTTTCGATATTTGTCTTTTTTTGATTTGGGTTTAGTAGTGTCTTGCACCTTCTCGTTTTGGATCTTCTCCTCTTCAAAAAAAAGTCACAGAATAAAAAAACCCGAATTTCCAGAATTTAAACTTAAACAACTGCAAAAAAATTGCCAACCTTCAGACATTTCGGAAAATCTAACGCTAACGCAATTGATCACTAATAAATATAAATACAAATTTTTTTCCACGTTGATCGTCGTTAATCTACTTTTATTCCATTATCAGCTAGATCACCATCGAAATGCAAATAATAACCACTGAAAAAAATTGAAAGTCACTCTCGTTAAATCCTTCGATAGTGGGACTATAACAAGAGTGACTTGTATATACCTACGATTTTACCATTTAATACAGCTGTTTATTAAATTAAAAAGCTTAGAAAAAATGACAACTTATTACCCAGCTCTAAATGAACTTTTCGTGTTCCTAAATACTACCATCACACAAATCTCAAGGTATACTTCTCGAATTCCCGGTTCGTCCATTCTACTGAAATACGTAAAGAACTCGCATCAAGATGACCCGTATCGTTCTCTATTGGAGCTTTTGTTAGCTTGTTTTGTGGTCTGGTACCTATTTGCGAAAAAATATCGCACGGATAACTTTATTGAGTTGACACGACAGGTAAAAAAGTATGAATTATTCTTTTTCTGGATACATGCCTGTGCTCATACATGCATGGCACTTATACATTTGTGCTAAACTTGTTTCTATTTTCGTGATTTATTAGGAGGTTGAAGAACTTGTAGACGAGTGGCAGCCCGAACCTTTAGTTACCTCACTCAGTGAAAAGCAAAGATGGGAGCTGGAGAAAACTCCTGTTATTGTTGGGTAAAGATCCGCAGAAATTCTTAGTTAATTATGCATTATTTTTGAAATAATGGACTCTATTATTTATTATTATGTAAGACCACCAGGTCATAAACCTAAAATGTCAAATGGCGATACTGTGATAAATCTCGCCAGTTTTGATTTCTTGGGTCTTTCTAATAACGAATTGATAAAGGTAAATATTGATTATTCGTCATATTGAAATGATTATTGTTCTCTTTTCGTACATTATAAATAATATATATATCTATGTGTGTGTGTTCACATTTAAGGAAAAAGCAATTAAAACTCTTCGTGAATACGGAGTCGGTGCTTGTGGTCCCCCAGGTTTCTATGGAACTATGGGTAAAGTAACGCGCTTTTTTACTTTATCCTTATCATATATGTTAAATAAATACGTATATATGTGTGTGTGGGTGGTTATAGATGTACATACCGAATTCGAAAGGAATATCTCAAAATTTCTAGGAACAGAAGAGTCTATCCTGTATTCTCAAGGATTCTCTACTATCTCTTCTGCCATTCCCTCATTCTGCAAAAGAGGTGATATTATAATTGTGCAAGTATTTATTTACATAATCTTTAATTTTATTTGTCAATTATTCATATACTTATGACATACATGTTTTAATAGTGATAAAGGATGTAATTTTGCGATACAGAAGGGAATACAGATTTCTCGATCAATTGTCAAATGGTTTAATCACAATGATATGAATGACTTGGAACGTATATTGAAAGAAATCAGAGCGGAGGATATTGAGGTTTGATGTTGATATTTTTTCTTATTTTTTCTTCGAATTTGTCGCCCCAAAAACTAAAATATTTTCGGTTTTCAAAATAGACAGGGCGACAATTGACAAGACGATTCATTGTGACAGAGGGAATCTTTCAGAATTTTGGTGACATTGCTCCGTTACCTGAATTGGTACTTATCATTTCTTTTCTTTAATTAATCTACATACTGATTTTTTGCCTTCTTCCTCTTCTCAACTAATTTTCTGATGATTATTACTAGATTGAACTAAAAAAGAAGTACAAATACAGAATTATTCTTGATGAAAGTTTATCAGTTGGAACTTTGGGACAAAGGGGTGCGGGATTAACAGATTATTTTAACATCAAGGTTCGTTTTTGTAGGATATAATTTTTTTGATTAAATTGGAGGGTTTTTATTAATTTGCATTTATATAAAATTATTATTTCCTTGGCTTTGTTAATTGATAGACATCGGATGTTGACATGATTGTAGGATCAATGTGCCATGCGCTTTGTTCCTCTGGTGGTTTTTGTTCTGGATCCCATGAAATTACTGATTACCAGGTGTGCTAACAATATCGTTCTAGCTAGCTTAATACAATCGGTTGTTTTTTTTAGTGTTTTATTTTAATAATAGTCTTTCATGTAAATAAGCGTATCTCTGGTCCTGCATACTGTTTCTCGGCAGCTTTGCCAGCTCCGCTTGCAGTCAGTGCCTCTGAATCTCTCGCTTTTCTGTCGCAAAATACACATTTGCTTGTTAACCTCCAAGAAAACTCGCGCGCTTTTCGAAATATGTTTAAAGACATGAACAATTACGTAAGATTAGACGGGGCAGCCGATTCTCCTGTTCTGCATCTTCGACTAAATAAACAAGTTTTGGATTTTTCCGAAGGTAATGACGACGACAATGATAATATTAATTCTAATCGTCTTTATAATTATCATGGTCGTCGTCATAATAATAATTTAAGCGAGACAAGTGATGATTCGGATAAAGCAGATAGAGTGTTACAAGAAATTGTTGATAAGGTAAGTTTTTAGCTTTGATAGAGAATCAGTTTTCTATATTTGGTTTGTTTTCTAGGCAAGATTAGGCCTAATAAACCAGCAAAGAATCTATATTCTAAACTTTGGAATATTGTATGATAGGCAATGAACAATGGAGTCCTATTGACGCGTGCAAAATACGTACGGGATCAAGAGCATTTTGGCATTGAACCAAGTATACGTATATGTATATCTGCAAGCTTTACAAAAAAGGAAGTGGAAAATATCGCAATCACACTTAAAAATGTGATTACAAATGTGTTGAGAAGCAAAACTCGCGAGATTCCGTCTGCTACTTCTACTGCTTACACGAACGGCACAAAATAATGATGATGTTGATAAAGATTAAACTACTATTACTAGTCTTGGTCTTGCTATCAAGGAACAATTTTGATTATATATGGAAAGGGTATAAAATTTGTCGGAAATTTATTATTACCATTAATTACTTGTAATACTCTTAAAAATTAATTATTAATATTATTGGTTTAATTCTTAGAGAATAATAGATTCATTAATATTTAAATATATAATTGAGAATTCATAAAGGTTCAATTGAAAACATCACCTCAAAATATGTTATATATTCTGAGTTTTGTTGATGAATTTTATAATATCTTGGGATTTGTTTGAGGTTCTCAATCCTCTGACATTAATGGTGCTTATTCATAGTGATAATGTTAGAGTTGAAGTTTGTTGATGAATTATTTGTATAGTTTTGTTGTCAATATTATTAAATGTAGGTGTAATTGTAGAATTTGCATTAAAAGTTGAGATATTTGAGTAATGTTAATTTATTGTTGTTGATTTGGTGAGTTGTGATATATGTTGACAGTGTTTTTGAGTGTCAAATTGGTGTTGTGACCTGTTACTAGATAGTTGAATATTGAGAGATGGTGAAAGTGGTTCAATATTATTATTGAAGAGTTAGTTATTGTCATTGTCAGATATGACTAAGTCTTCTATTGGAAGTATTGGAGATGATAATTGGTTTGAATTAGATGATTTTAAGTATTCTGATTTGTTTGTGAAGGATAAGTTATTAATGTATATGAATGGTGGATTAATTGTTGAATTTGGTTGAATTGATTGAGATTTGTTTGAGTTATTGTTGTGATTCATTAGAAAAATGTAGTTCGATTTGGTTTAGACATTCTTGTAAAAATTTTTGTTCATTTCGTAGAGATTGTAAATTAGATATGAAATTCTGATTAAGAGATTTGAGATTGTTGATTTCTTTGTTTTTTTCAGCAATAGTGTTTTAAAGAAATGAGTTCATGGAAGGCTGAGAGTTTGTGTTATTTATGTCTGATAATGTGAATGTTATAAAGATGATGAATGCAGTAAGTGGCTCAAATTAGGGTTCCGAAAAAAAGTCTGGTTCGGTTCGAGTCTGGTTCGGTTCGAGCTTGAACCGGACTTGAACCTGACGAAAAGTCCAGTTCGAAAATTTGAACCTAATTAAAAGTCTGGTTCGAGTTCGGTTCAAATTTTGAACCTGACTCGAACCTGACAAAAAGTTCAGTTCGAGTTCAAGTAAATGTTTGTTGATGTTCTAAGTAAAGTTGTAGATCGTA